GWWGRAGSRGGAAATGYAGAGGATATTTGCATAGAGATCGGTGGTTAATGTAAAGAAGAAAATAATTTTGAGTACAGAATACAAGATAGCAGAGGAAACCAAGGGATTAGCATAACACAACAAACGTGGAAGTGGAGAGCCACGTGCAGAKGATTWGAGTAGAAGAGRTAAKTKCAGWGTAGGCAGAGACCACGTTCGCTGTAAAGTAAGATACAAACACGCAGACAGACAGACGGATAGAAAGAGAGACACAGACAGACGGACAGAAAGAGAGACAGACAGACGGACAGAAAGAGAGACAGACAGACAGACAGACGGACAGAAAGAGAGATACAGACAGACGGACAGAAAGAGAGACACGGACAGAGAGACGGACAGAAAAACAGACGCAGACAGACAGACGGACAGCAAGAGAGACGCAGACAGACAGACGGACAGAAAGAGAGACAGGGACAGACAGACGGTCAAACAGATCGAAACAGACAGACGAACAGATACTCAGACACAAAGAGACTCGGAAAGTCAAACATACAGAATCCCAGATATACGGAAGGACAAAAGACAGAAGAACAGACCAGTGAACAGAAAGAGTCAGACAGACAGAAATAAAAGAAAAATAAAGAAATAAAAGAGAATAATAGCACATTCGACAATATAGCTATTATGCACCTTTTACACTGTCACGCTTTGGGTGAAAATGTGTGGCGTGACAAATGATATCTATCAATGACTATCATACACCTGTGTGCGGGTTTGTAGATTATAGAGCACACGAGGCGTTTGTGTGCCAGAGTCCATGTGGTTACCCCTGGTAAATCTGCCCACACAGAGGTTAAGACTCTGGGATTCCTGTGGAGTTATGCCGGCACTCAGGCAGTTCTTAAAGAAGAGAAATCTTATGCTTTTCTTCTTTCTTTTATAACAAAAACATTTTCTCAATAAACTTCGGTTGCATATCGACGAAATGCAGTCGAAATTGTCACGATTTACGCGTAGCACGAACTTCTGCCGACACTTCTCCGAAGTTTTACCGACTTTTACTGTCTTTGTTNATGCTAACCTTATGAAATCATGTCAACCAAGCTAAAGACAGAGTGTTTGCACAACATATAAGAGCAATAACAACACAACAAAATAGAGCAGATTTCGTATGAGTGGGACACCGTTACCGCATGGTTACCGCACAGTTRCYGVACCTGGCCTKCACAATTTTGGTGAACCAATGGGGCACTAGAATTTGGTTACAGTACGATTACGGTCACAGTACAGTACCGTCCATTTCCCACTCATATGAAATCCGCTCTATGACAGATTACCTTGCAAGTGACAGGAATCTTTCCCAATTTCTTACTGAACTCAAACATTGCCTCAAATGCTTCGTTAGATAGCTCTGGTGTCTTAACAACCTTTCAAATTATGACAGAATTTCAAAATTAAAATTTATTAGACAAAAACAGCATACATGCACAAAAATATATTTTATAAAGTATGGAAACAGTAAACAAAAGAACAAGAAAATAACAGAGAATGTATGGYGCTTTAGAGCTATAATTATTCTTGCAAATTATTGAAAGAAATGATATTTCTTTTTAGAATCATTAACCAAGGTTTGAACTTGAAAATAGCAACATTTTTCATGAGAGCATGTTAGGTTTTGAAAAATGAAGAGTATTTTCCTAGTAAAATTGCAGATTGAGTTTTTACATTAGGCTCATCTTATAATATATTATTGAGTCATGTAGCACCCTTTGAAAGAGTACCTCAACAAGCTTCATCATTGGAACAGGATTGAAGAAGTGAAGTCCGCCAAACTTGTCTCGTCTGTTGGTTACCTCAGCTATCTCACCAATGGGCAGTGATGATGTGTTAGATGCAAAGATTGTATGGCTTAAATAAGATTAAAATTATTAAATGAAAATGATAAGAAAACAGGGACAGCATTCTTGAGTATAAATTATAAACAACAAGCACTTAATCTACGAAACATAAATAGTACAAGATTGGTGATAAATAATAAAAATATGTCTATTGTCTGTACCTCGTAAAAATATTATCAATAATTGATTGATTTGTGTTTGTCAAACAGGGTCAATTTAATATGGGGAAACTTCCAAGGATGACAAACAGTAGTCCTAATACCGTTTTCTCTTTTGAGCTAAAATTTCTCTTAATAGGATGAATTCTGAGCCATACCCTTATCAAATAAAGTTCAATGCTCAAAATCATGGAAATATTTCAGCCACATTACAGATAAGCATTGAAAACGTCAGGGGCTTTCAAATGGGGAGATGGAATCCCCCTTCTGGGACAGACAAAGTCTTGAAATATGAAATGGTGGGAACTAGCGATAAACTAGTGTGAGCTGCGTCGGTGTTTCTAAAGAAACGACGAAGGATTAACATCCGAAACGTCAGTAAGTTATTCCACCATACTTTTTTACGGTGTTAAATTTATCTTTTTACATATTAACTGTTTCTTGAAATATGAGACTTTTATGTGGCAAAACAATAGAAGGTTAAAACACTTTTGGATAGTCCAACACAGTATTTTCAATATGAATGCAAGACAATACTCAGGCAATCTTCATTCTTGAAACTGCAAAACAGCCAGAACTCCCTCCTAAGACCCCTTCACATGCCACTGAACATTCCCTGCATCCAACTGATCTTCCTGTCAATGTTTATTTCTTTTTTTCTTATCCCTCACCTTGGTGCAGCATCATCCAGTGTTTTGAACAGTTTGTGTTTGACTTTCATGTTCTCAATGATGGCTTCAATGACCAAGTCAGCATTGGTAACAGACTCTGCTGCGTCCAGAGATATYGTGATTCGATTAATGGAATCAGAGACAAACTGCTTACCAGCCTAAAATAATAAGGTATGATAAACAGAATGTTGTATGATTGATAACTTGGCATTACTCWGAGTCACAAGTATCCTTTTTCTTGTTTGAAAGCCAGGAGAGGGAGAATGGGAGCAAGAGAGTGAGTGTGATCCTTCCTGGTCACTAGTCCTCCAAAAAGAGGAAAAAAGAGTTGCCTGGGGAGGAGGCTACAGTGACAGCCTTAGCAGTTTTATGATGAAATTGCAAACCAGTGTTAAAGGTTTCAAGCATGTACGGATGGAAGTATAGTTAAAGTGGAAGGATTCTAATGGATGAATAAATTAACTGAAAAATAAGTAAATTTATGAATGGATAGATAGATCTATAGGAGGGTTTAGATTGTTTGTACAGTGCACACAAAATAAACAGCAGAAAATAGAGATGAGCAAAGTTAAGTTAACATGATGTTAAGTGTTGGTTTGGAGGTATGCTTTTATTCACAGAATAAGACAACCACAGGTAACCCAAACTTACTCTGATTACAAAGGGTCTCAATGGGGCTAAGCATTTATAGCTGTTATAATAAGATAAATTGAAAAAGAACCGTATTCTGCAGTTCTCTGACCTCTGGATTATCTTTGAACTTTTTCTTGCTGACTCTCCCCAGACTTCTCTCAATACTTTGAAGAGTTTTGTTGAGGATTGCATTAGTTTGGTCAACTATTGTAACTTGATGGTTGGTGACAGCAGCAACCTGTATATAAAAATGGATTTATTATGGCAAAATCATTTATAGATAATCTACCCACAAGTATTTTGATTGCCCAAAAGCTGCAAATTAATTTTTTATGTCTTTTCAGTATAGCTTAAAATTAAATAGAGCAACTATAGTTCAGCCTTAGCTTTTATATTAAATGTACAAATTCTTTGTTTGCTTATATGGCTCGTGTAATTGGCTGTTTTTAGCCTATTCATTACAATGCCATCTGCGCATGTTCTTTTCCGTTAMTCTTGTGCAATTGCTCAATTTAAGTTATTATTAGAATTTATTAATTCTTTCTTGGGTTCAAAGTACAGAAACTGCTAATCACGTTGATCTACAAACATCACGGAAAGTTAAACTTATGAATTTTTAAGGTGAAGGCGAGCTTTTCAAAATACAGTTGTCAATCCGAGCTGCAAACAGCATAATAAATACTTCTCTCATAAATAGTTTAAAATCAGAAGTTTTTCTTGAATTACCTGTGCAATTCCTGCTCCCATCAACCCTCCGCCAAAAACCGTGACGTTGTTAATGGCATCCCTTGCYGTTGTGGTGCTCAGCCCGGCTTGCATTGYAGCTAAATTACGACCAAATAATGGCCGACTCAAAATCTTTGAGGCAGCYAATGCAGCTCTAAAACTACTATTAGTGAAAGACATTATGTTTTTGGAAAAATAGTTAAGAAATTGGGCTCAATTTCGTGCGATTTGAGGGTGATAATAAACGGTGAAAGGCACTACCATAGCAAAAAAACGAGCAGGCGTTCCTTTGAAGTGAACGCGCGCCGTTTGGAAACCAGCGATCGATGACCTGGTCTTGATTGATTGATGGCAAGCCGTGTGGAGACACGAACGAAACAACAATATTTTTTCTTCCCAAGTGTTTTCGACTCTCTTCTAAGCAAAGGTAAAAGAAAATTACTGAATAAGTTATCAAATTATATTAAGCTTAATTTGCTGGTATAAAATTTCATTGTCTCTTTGCCGCCATTAAACAAAGGTTGTTTATTTTTTCAATTCTCTCTTCTGGTCTGCAAACATTCCAGGGTTTTAGGTGAAATAGAATACTCCTTCTAAGATAGCTTAGGTCACTAGATATGATATCTGACAAAACTTAAGTTCAAAGTTCGGATTATTGTGAGGATCCTAAGCTYATGGTAAGGTTAGTTGCAAAAGTACTGGGAAGTTCAAACGGATTTCATCTCTAGGCAAGAATTCTTTCTTTTGCTTTCACAACCGAATTTATASCCAAAACAATCTTATATTGTCTGTTTAAGTTTGATGGCTGACAACACAGCGGAAACTGCTCTAAAATATCTAMGAGATCCTTCAGTTGTGGTTGGMATTGGCGCCGTAGCTGCGTCTCTCCTGTATATGGCGACTAGACCTTCTCCAACTTGCTGCCCCGTCGATTCCACTCAACAATCCATTGAAATCCCAGTAAGTATACATACATAAAGCTTTTAAAMTTCTCTTATACCTGTACAAATGCTATATCCTTTTTGACACTTATAGGGCTATTTTATTGAGTAATTTTATTTGGTCTTTTTCCAAAGGGGGAGGATAAACGCTTAAGTCACATGTGGACTTTGGATTCAAGCTAAGATTTTTATTTGATCAGGAGCTCTATTTGACTTTTTTTGCATGTAGAAACTTAAAATTCAAATTTTTTTGCGGTGTAAGAAGATGAAAATATTGATGATATTATGAAAGAAACTGTCCTTTTGAAAGTTTCATTTACTTACTTTTCTCCTTCGGTGAGGTTCGAACTGTGATTAACAGTACGTCCTTATGTCCTCCCATGCGGCTAGATAGAAATAATTGTTTCATTAGAATTACCTTTGTCACGCAATGTTTTTCATTTATATTCGATTTTTAATTCAAATTTCCTTGCATAGCAAAAACATCTGACTTTTTGATCCCTATAAATATCAAGTTGCATCATAAAGCAAGGCAACACTGTAAAGACTTAGTAGATTAAGTGGAATTTACTGAACATTCTGCCATAGTTGCAGTCAATGGCCTTCACGGTTCCTTGAGCCATCTTGAAATGTAACCTTGCCTTTGCATTGAAGCGAGACAATCAGTGAGCGCACAGTGACGGACAGTTTTGAATAATTGTCTGTAGGTGAAAACAAAGGTTTCCATCATTGAATGCTCACTGGTTGTCTTGTTTTGATGCAAAGGGTCCACATTTAAATAAGGTAACCAAGGTGACTAGGGCTCTGCCCTCTTGCTCATTTGTTTACTCATTTTTCAATCCCAAAATGCATTGCGCCACAAGGTTTCCCACGGTTTATCTTAAATAAGAATTATGAAGTTTTGGTCTGCAAGGAGCTAAACAAATGATGCTCCTGATTAATTTTATGAGCTCTTTCCTGAGCAGTCGGAAATCATGCTGAGAAAGTTACCAAAATCTGGGTCCTGCTGGGTTAAAGATTTGGTCATGACCTTTAGTTTTCCTCATGTTTAGTTTATGAATTATTAACCTGAATGAAATTGATCATGCTTAGTTATTTTTTTTTTAACTGAGAACTTCATTAGTGTTGGGCTATCTGAAACTGTACAATATACACCTACTTGCAGAAACGTTGTCAGAAAATAGAACATTTGAATTTAGTAAAAAGGAATAAATTAAAACAAGACAAAAGAAAGCGYTCAGCCTCAGTGATMTTCTTTTGTCTTTATTAATTTATTCCTTTTTACTAAATACAAATGTCCTATTTTCTTACAACATTTTCGCAAGTAGGTGTATACCTATAATTACAAAAATGTTGTCACAGAATAACAACTGAAGGTATATTTTTAATATTAAGTAGTTATTAGTCTGAATGCTTTATTTTGCCTATTTCATTTCTTTTTGACCAAAAATAAATTGTTAATTATTTTGAGACAATTGTTTTACAACTCTGTAAACTGATAAAAAACATTGTTTATTTTTTAATCTGAAAAGATTTTGATTATTAATCCTTGATTGTATTTAAATTTGTTTTTCTTAGAATGACAACTATGCTCGGCGTAGTGCCCTGTGTGAAGAAATACTTGAAACTCTTTTTGATGATTGCACCACAACACATGAGGTTTTCCTCCGAGGAGCTAAAATATCAGGTAATACTATGACAGTTGGGACTTACACTAGTATGCATATGTCAAGAGTCTCATTTTTATTTTTAAACACAATTGTTTCTATGGTATCATTCTAGGGTATTATATTCAATCATATATCCCAGAAACATTTTGTAACAAATTGTACAAAATTGCATGAACAATAGATGACAAAGGATTTCTCACTAATTTGCTTAATTTAGTTTACATATCATAGAGTGATCACACTTAAATGACTACTTGGACGAAGTTTGTGAAACATTAGTAAGAAAAGACTTGGAAATCAAATAGACCTATTCATATGGGTCTAATAATCATGAAGCAACAGATTTTAAGAAGATATTGAACAAATCTTTAATAATTTGGGCAAAAAATGCTGGAGTAGATGACGTCATTTACTCCATCCTTTTGTTCTTCCATCTTTTGAATCAAAATTTTTCTGACAATTATTTTCCCACAATTGTTTTTAATAGATATATGTGAGTCATATATTTGTATTGCTTAAGGTTTTGAAATGAGGCCATTTTCATGCTAATTATATAGCCACATATTAATCCCAAATAGGTAAAAGCTGGATTTTTCGTTAATTTTGGAATCCTGTCCAATTAAGAAATTAATTGGACAGGTTTTCAATTGGGTTTTTGTTAAAAGCTGTGGTTGGCTTTTACCTATTTGGGATCAATATGTGGCTATATAATTAATAGGTAATAAGACTCCATGCTGTCCAATTAAGAAATAATTAGACTCGAAAAATTCCTCTGACTGCCAAATTGGACTCGGCCACGGCCTCGTCCAATTTTTGGCAGTCCTCGGAATTTTCCTCGTCCAATTATTTCTTAATTGGACAGCATGGAGTCCTATTACATATAA